CTTGTTTAGAAGAAATTAATGTAACCAAGAGTAAAGAATATTGCTTGTGAAGCTAGGAACCAAACTGATAAAGCTTTAGTATACCAAGAAACTCTAGAACCTCTAGTTATCAACAGAAATAGAAAAGGCGAATTACACCAATCACCAAATGATACAATTGAAGGTGGAGTTGAGTTCTTGTCAAGCCATTACCTACTTGGAGAAAGGAGAAGTGGAAATAAAACTTCAAACCCAAATGCTCCACTTGCCTATCAAGAAAGGAGACACACTAGAAGAAAGGTTATTCCTTTCTAAAACACTTTGCTAGCCAATATGGATTCTATCAAAGTAGATGACAATCGGTCTCCAATCTCAAGTAATCTCTTAAGTGTAAGAATAATGGTTTTTTCTTAAAGATACATTGCTCTTTGCTTGACTAAGACATTGACTTTTTGATGTTTCTATGAAATCCTTCTAACTTTGAGCCCTTGACGGAACAAGCGAACATAGCAAGAAAAACTATGGAGAGAGACCATTGGAACAAATGAATCAATTGAATAAACTTCCGGTTGACTTAGCAAAAGTTGTAGGAAAATCCATACGTAGGACATCTACTACAAAAATATTTGTTACATTCAAAATTAAACTAGCTAAACCAAATGTCATAGAATTAGCTTCTATAGTTATAGCCATAAATAAGTCTAGAAAAAGACATCCAAGGAAAAGAAAAGAAGACAAAAATGATGGCTAATAATTTGAACATTCCTACCCAAACTTTTCAAATTTTTACAAGTATAAAATTTTTGTTTTCTCAAGCATTAAAGATCTTTTGCCCTATGGAATATACTGAAAGATTTGTGGAAAATTCACCATAATTGATGATTGTTGTCAGACATGTGAGCATTTTTTCCCTCTTTATTTTTTTTTGCTATATCCTTTTTTTGTATTCCTTTTTTACCTAATTTCTTGCTTTATTTGATTTTCATTCAACAATTGTGCTTAATCATATGCTCAAGAAAGTGATATCTCAATTGTACTTGAATGCCTAATCAAATAACCATAAGCATTATTCGCGCAAGGCATGTGTTTATAACTAGTTCTTACATGATATGTAAAGCACGATTGTATGGGTGTCAACATTTGAATATTTATACCCAAAAGTGATTTGTGTATTAAAATCATTTTCCATCTTTTAAAACTTTTTCTTGAAAGAAATTAAAATTGACCTTTCCTTTTTCTTTTTGATGGTATTGACATGGCTAAAGCTCAACTATCACTTACTTGCTCAAGTTTGTTACTGATGTACCCGTGCTTGAGTTGATTACCAATGTACTTAAACTTGAGTTCAAGTTAGAATACATGAAAATTTCTATATTAGTGCCCCCAGTAATTTAAAATAAAAAATTTAGTCCATGTTTATCTTTTCCTTTTTTCTTGCTCTTTTTCCATTTTTTCTCACCATATCTGATATTAACCAATTTAGCCAAATGATGAATCAAAACACTTCCTATCAGATTAAGGAGAGACCCCAAAAAAATTAAACATTAAAAAATCAATCAAAATATCTTCTCTCATTTGTTAAGGATTTCCTTTTTTAAAACAAAATCCATCAAACACAAACAATAGAGAGTGAGCATTAAAGTGATGTTAGATCGGCAGTAGTTGTAGTGGCACCTATGCTAGAAGGGCTTAGTAGTGAGGGAGGTGGTGATGAAGGAGCGACGAATTTGTGAGAGGGAAGGAGTAAAGGAGTGTGGAACAGTGGTGAGGTTTTGAGGGGTTAAGAGAAGGGGTAAAAATTTGGGAGTGTTTTTCAAGTAGTGAAGAAAGATTGAAATATTCAATAATAGAGAGACTTTAGCATAATTTTTTTTAAAACAAATATGATTAGACGATATTGGCCACTTATTCTTTAAAGTTAGAATGGTTACAAGATGTAATTTGTTCAAGAGGTGTAGACTTTTTTGTAATTTTACATATGATATATTTTAAAAGGAAAAAAAAGCTCGAAATGCTCAATGAGCATTTGAGCAGAGTATCTACATGCTCAAGATTAGCTCATCAAGCCTATTGAACACCTCAAGTTCGACTCAAGTTTGAAGTGACTAAACTCGAGCCAATTTTTTGACTAAGCTACTCACCCCTACAATGCAAGATTGTATGTGTGTCAATATCTCACTATTTATGCCCAAAAATGATTTGTGTATCAAAGTCCTTTTCTATGTTTAAAACTTTTTGTAGGAAGAAATTCAAATTAAACTTTCCTTTTTGTTTTTGATGACTAAATCTCAAGCATTCACTTGCTTGCCATATAGATCACAATTTTTACAATGCTAGACTTCAATTTTTAACAAAATAAGTTGGATCCACATAAACAATTTTTAACCTTGACAGAACAAGACAATTTACATTGATGTGCCGAAGTACGCTACATAGAATATTTTCAGACTTTTCTATGGGGAAAAAGTTTATTTTATCAAGGATATTCTTGAAAATTTCCAATTATTAGCGGGTGAAAAACCTCAATTCCCCTTCCTCTAGTTCAGTCTATGATTGTGAAGAATAAAAGCTTAACAGCAATCAAGAGCAAGAGAATCTAAATCTTATCCACCTATAAATTTAGAGTCCAAAGCTATAAACTTGCTATTCCCGCTTTGCTAAATACTAGATTATGTATAATGCAACCACATTTCATGGAGATAGAGCAGTATGAGTCAATGTTGTTATACTCGGACCGACTAGCGATTCGGCTAAACTATTGGATCAGGGATCAATTGGTTGGATTGGTCTGACCGTTCTCAAAAACTAGCTAACGTCAGCATGATGTCATAATTGTTTTATATTTTTATAAGTTTCAGAAATATTGAAATTAAGTTCTTGTGATAGTTGTAGTGGCACCTATGCTAGAAGGGCTTAGTAGTGAGGGAGGTGGTGATGAAGGAGCGACGAATTTGTGAGAGGGAAGGAGTAAAGGAGTGTGGAACAGTGGTGAGGTTTTGAGGGGTTAAGAGAAGGGGTAAAAATTTGGGAGTGTTTTTCAAGTAGTGAAGAAAGATTGAAATATTCAATAATAGAGAGACTTTAGCATAATTTTTTTTAAAACAAATATGATTAGACGATATTGGCCACTTATTCTTTAAAGTTAGAATGGTTACAAGATGTAATTTGTTCAAGAGGTGTAGACTTTTTTGTAATTTTACATATGATATATTTTAAAAGGAAAAAAAAGCTCGAAATGCTCAATGAGCATTTGAGCAGAGTATCTACATGCTCAAGATTAGCTCATCAAGCCTATTGAACACCTCAAGTTCGACTCAAGTTTGAAGTGACTAAACTCGAGCCAATTTTTTGACTAAGCTACTCACCCCTACAATGCAAGATTGTATGTGTGTCAATATCTCACTATTTATGCCCAAAAATGATTTGTGTATCAAAGTCCTTTTCTATGTTTAAAACTTTTTGTAGGAAGAAATTCAAATTAAACTTTCCTTTTTGTTTTTGATGACTAAATCTCAAGCATTCACTTGCTTGCCATATAGATCACAATTTTTACAATGCTAGACTTCAATTTTTAACAAAATAAGTTGGATCCACATAAACAATTTTTAACCTTGACAGAACAAGACAATTTACATTGATGTGCCGAAGTACGCTACATAGAATATTTTCAGACTTTTCTATGGGGAAAAAGTTTATTTTATCAAGGATATTCTTGAAAATTTCCAATTATTAGCGGGTGAAAAACCTCAATTCCCCTTCCTCTAGTTCAGTCTATGATTGTGAAGAATAAAAGCTTAACAGCAATCAAGAGCAAGAGAATCTAAATCTTATCCACCTATAAATTTAGAGTCCAAAGCTATAAACTTGCTATTCCCGCTTTGCTAAATACTAGATTATGTATAATGCAACCACATTTCATGGAGATAGAGCAGTATGAGTCAATGTTGTTATACTCGGACCGACTAGCGATTCGGCTAAACTATTGGATCAGGGATCAATTGGTTGGATTGGTCTGACCGTTCTCAAAAACTAGCTAACGTCAGCATGATGTCATAATTGTTTTATATTTTTATAAGTTTCAGAAATATTGAAATTAAGTTCTTGGTTATATTCGGCCAATCATACAAAATATTCCAAAAATATTAGACTTATAATCAAATATACACCTAATAATTATATATAAAAATGTAAATTCATGACTAAAATATGTCCGTTTTCAAAACTACTTGAAAAACTAAATTAAAACAAATTAATGCAAGTTGGAATCATTGATGCTAAATTGATAAGATGATAGGGGTGAAACATCTTGATTTAGAGATCATTCAGGAAAGTGAGTAATGTTGGTGTTTACACTAAGTGGGTGGCATTTTCATACTCCTATTAATAAATGAAAGTGTTACAATTTAGTTAATTCAAATTATGTTTAGGAAAAATAAGAAAGAAAAGTTTGAGAACTGGGTCAACCAGTCGAATTGGGTCACTGGTTAGCCGATTTTTGATGATTTTGACTGGTTTTTGACCAAAGCGATTTTGTGCTACAAACTAACTCGGGAAGAAGGCTGGGTTGGACTGGTCGGTTCGACCGGTCCAGTCCGGGTCTAATAACACTGGTATGAGTAACTCTCCTTGAAACAAAATGTGAAAGGCATCATACCTGGCATTCTGTGATCCTCAAATCTGATTCTAATTAATCTTTCCTTCATTTCCTTCAAATATTCTTAAACTCTATTAATTCCTCCTTAATCTCATTTCTTTCATTTTTATCCACTTGTTTCTCTAGATCGATACCGATAAAAATCAATCACAAGAAAAGCAGAGTAACTTTCAACACTTAAATGCTTCAACCAATTTTTTGATTCATTCCTCATATGATCTCAAAAATCTTTCCCTTTTACTCACCCTTTTTGCAAATTTATTTTTATAGAGCGGCATGTAGTAATAAAGAGGCCTTGGGAGCTTTGGGTTGGAATCTTTAATGTTTTTTCTTTTTCTAGAAGATTAAGTGCGTTTTAAGGTGAAAGATGAGTTTCAAAACTCGGCATGCAACCATTGAAAGGCTTTTGGCTTGTGGGATTTGCCAAAAACTTGTTAGGGATTGCACTACAATTGACGAGTGTTGCCATACTTGTAAGCATCTTCTTTGCTTTTTTTTCCCCTCATTTTCTGTATTCTTTTTGCATTATTTTTCCTTATTCAGATTCTAAATCAAACGATTTATATATACAGAGATGTGGGTTCTAAATTTTTTCTCAATTCGAGTTTGAAGTCATGCTTTGACCCATGATTTTCATGGTCCTATTGATTTTTTCCCCTTCTTTCTTGAGTTTTTTTACATTCTCTAGATGTGAATTTACCTAATTTCATCCCCGCTTGATCAAATTTTTCTCAATTTATGCTCATCCGATCAAGATTTTGCACCATCATGTTACTATAAAAATTTTGATTTTTGTCAATGGTGTAATTTCACCAGCCTCAAATTTGATTTTCTAAAATTTCATTTTAATCTACCCTAGCTTTACTCAGTTTACATTCACTTTTTTCTTCTTTTTTTTTTTTTTTTTTAGTTATGTGATTAGTGTTTGAGTTGTGTTAGTTTTGGCAACAAATAGTAAAGTAACAAATTTTTCATTTTCGATCAGATTTTTTTATTTTAGGGCAGGTCTCATTTTATTTCTTGTTCTGTTGGTATCCTGGCTAAGTGACTAGGCTACTGAAAACAAAGGAAATTTTTGAAATAGAAAATTCTTTTTCTCCTTGTTTCATCATAATCTTTGTATCTAACAAAACCTTATCAAAGTCAACTAGAGAAATTTCATTGAATTTCAAGACTATATTTTGGGAGAATGTGTCAATTTTTTGGCACTATCATAAAGATTTTTTGATCTTAGTTTCCTCAGAGTTATGTTGTAGAGAATATTATTGCATGATTTCATCTTTGTAGGTGTTATTTTGCTTTTTAAATTGTTCCACGGTGTAAAATAGATTGAGTTTAATGTAATTTTGGCTTTTGTCATTGTTGAACAGTTTGCAAGAAGTGCATAACCGGAAAGATCACTGAAGAAAACTTGCGCAACTGTCCAGAGTGCAACATAGATCTTGGTGGTGCTCCGTTGCAGAGGCTCAAGTATGAACTTTTCTTCTTTTGCAATTGATTGATTTTTTCTTCTTGTGCAAAATCATGTACTCTTGCTTCTCGAGATCTAACCAACTAATCAGTCTAATGAATGGCCCTTTGCTTGAGGTAAGTTGCTAGGTATTAACATGTATTTCCATTAAATTTACAATTAGACCATGTGTCGTACAAAGAACAACATGCAAATGCATGTGTTTTTACGTGTGGTGCGATATATTGTGCCAAACCTAACCTATAACTGATTTTGTTCTAGTAATTGATTTATTCTTGAGATTTGTGGCAAGGGCAGTAAGACAATTTCTAGACTATTATCCTTAAAGATAGAATCGATATCATGAAATTGAGAATTAAATGGGATGTTCTTGTTGAATTAAAGTTCCATTTTGATTTTAAGGCCTCATAACACCTTTCCGTGATCATGTTTAGAGGTATGGACTTCAGCCATATAGTGTCATGAAAGCTATTAGATGAGGATAGTTCCTCTTAGTAGTAGCTATATCTTTTGGTATTTACCTTATCTACCCTAATAGGATGACGGGGAATTAGGATACCCTTGATTTTCATGTGCATAAATTATACTTTTTAACTTACCGCAATTTACTCATCAATATGATATGGTGTAGGATGTTAAATTTTATGAAGAACTTCACTACTCTAAATAGTGCATAGATTACTTACTGATTGTCACTTAAAATTTCGTCATTTTTCAAATTGACAGGCACGACTATCGTTGGCAAAGTATAAGAAACAAGTATGTCAGCATAAAAAAATTAGCGAAACCAAAAGTGGAGGATGTTGCTCGTGAAGCCAAGAACCATGTTGATAATCCTCCAGTGAACCAAGTGGCTTCAGAATTGCCTATTGTCGATAGAAAAGGAAAAGGTAAAGTTTATCAACTGCCAAATGAATCAGTGGAAACTGAAACTGAGCCTGATGTTGAGCTATTGTCCACTAGAAGAAAGGAGAAATCCGTTTCTTCTTTAGTTGGTCGAATTGAAACTTCAAACACAATTGCTCCACCTACCCATCAAAAAAGGAAATACACTAGAAAAAAGCCTATTCCTTCCTGGGGGGCTTCTCTATCTAGTATGAGTTCTACTCAAGAAGACGAAAATCGTTCTCAAATCTCAAGTAATCCGGTAAGTGTATAAAACATTTTTTGGTTTTTTTAGAAACACATTGTTCTTTGCTTGACTATGACATTGAATTTTTGATATTTCTGAAGAATCCTTTTGCTGCCTCTGAGCCCTTAAAGAAACAAGTGGCACATAATAGCCAAGAGCGTAGAGGGGAACCTCCGAAAGAAATGAATGACTTGCTGAAATCCCTAGATGGCTCAGTTGAAGTCGTAACAAAATCCAGACGTAGGAGGTCTTCTGCCAAAAAAATGGTTGCATCTGAAATCAAAATAGGTGAATCACATGGCATAGGATCAGCTTCTCTAGCTGCTAGTCCAAAAAAATATAGAAAAGGACGCCCAAGAAAACAAGACAAAAATGGTCTCGCTGAGGATCTGAATATTCCCACCCAAATTGTGGTTGATTCTTCGAGTGTTTGTGGAAGAAAGAACCAAGTTTGGTTCCAACTTGTTGGTTGTAAGAAGCAGTAAGGCTTAATTTCCCTGCAGTAATTTGATTAAGCTTTAGAGTAAATACCTATACTATTCAGCTTTCTTACAACATGTATTGGATATTTTGATTGACTCTTTCAGGGAAAGTTGTGGCATTTTACCTTCAATGCCTCCTCAATATCTAAGGGTTCAGTAAGTCCCTCAATAATGTTTGTTGCTTGCATGTTTTTCAATTCAAACACATACATCCTTTTGTTTCTGAGATCTCATGTAACTTACACAGGAGTAGGTAGCTTGGATGACTATTAGTAGCAACCACCACAAATGATATTTGATCTGGATTGAAATGTTGACACATCTTGTAAACAAAGTGATTTTTTTTCCTTTTCTTTCAATGTTTCAAATGTTAATTGAAATTCATCTTAACTTTAGGTCATTCATGCAAAAAAGTTTAGGTTTATCTAGTATCACATGCACATGCAGATATAGTATTATTAAGGCCTTTAAACAATCTATTGTAGCTTAGTCGTATTTAACATGACATGAGAAGTAGCTATATAGCTTCATATGGATTGGTTCATGACATCCATCTGAATAAGATATAGAATTATCTTGTTGATTCCATCCCAACTTCATCTATTTGTTTTATAGTTACTTATCATTCAACATATAACCAAAGCTATAAATTGAAACCCTATATGAAAGGTCAAGGGTGTTTCAACTTTGGAAGCAAGAAGTTTTAGTGTATTTTTCATTTCCATCTATTTTAGCGAAAGATTCATATAGGTTAGCATTGGGATAAGAGCAAAAAAGATTTTTGTCTTATTATTTTTCTTGCTCAATTATTATATTGCTGCATACGGTAATGAGAAAAAAAGGCTACTAAGCTTCTGGATAGTGGAATAATGCATGCATGTACAATTCAAAGAGTAATCATGACCTAGCTTATGATACTTTCTCTAGATTTATGTTTGGCATTAAGCTACACAAATCGATTGCAGAGATCACAAAATTCATTAAAACCATATTTGACTACTTGGAATTATGTCTTAAATTTTTTATATGATTTGAGAAGGTAAATTTGAACTAGATACAAAGTGATGAAGTTCGGACGCATCTTAGCTTTTTCTTACTTTAGACTTGACAATTATTTTGTTTATTTAGACTTTCTTGTGGTTTAAAGTAATGTTTTCTTATTTTGTCAATTGTTATAGGGATGTCAACATGCCTGCTAGATTCATCAAGAAATACCTGGTGGTGAAGCTGGGCCTTCAAAGTGAAGATGAGAAAAAGGTCCAAAAGCTTAACTCATAACTTGCTTCCGTTTCATCGTACTTTAGGCAGTTTTTTTGGGTACAATTACTTTCTTTATTAATCAAATTTAGCTAGTACAAAACTTTTTTTTTTTTTTGTTTTCTTGCCATCATTGATATGCATTTGAATAAATTGGAGACACGGTTTTATTTTGTTCCTTTTATACACAATACTAATGCTTTCTTTTTGTTATTATCCATATCTGAGGCACCAATTCATGTGTTATAATGTGAAAATCCCTGTCTCGTGTTAACTTGCTTGTACTGTTTTGCTACATATTTTGGGATTTGCTACTATTAAATTAATTTATTCATCTCTTATTTTGCAGGTGGAGATTAGTATGAGAGGTCAACAAATTCATCCAGAAATGCGACTGCATCAACTTGTAGAAATGTGGATTAAGACATTAAGAAAACCAGAAAGGAAGAAAGCTGTAACAGTGGGTAGTTCAGGCAAAGATTTTGTAATGGTTTTCATATATAGTTTGCAGTTGTAGAGCTAAACCCTATTGAGGAGTTTTTCCTAGCACTTAAACTTCTAGAATTGATTAGAAAACTTATGTTCTTGAACTTTTTCAGCTTTCCTTATCTATTTTTTGTTGTTGTTGTTGTGAAAGTTTGAACCTATTTGAACTTGGATATAGGACAATGAAAATCTTTTGTTTTTTTTTATGAATAAATAAAAAAAACATTTGTTTGAACCCAATTTTTGTGGTGTGTGGACTCATGGATATGAGGCAGTGATAATTAAAAATATCTATGGCTTATTTCGGAGATTTCTCTGGGATGGTTAGTACTGTTGGTCATCATTTTTTTAAAACTTTTTTTACTTAGGAAAAACAAAATGAATAAATAAATAAATAAATTTCTTACCCAGCCTCATGGTAGATTTGATGAAAATAAAGACCAGGGAAAAAGTTAGGGGGAAATAATGCGGATCTATTGCATCCAAAGTTTTTTGGAAAAATGGCTGAAGGTTTTCTTTAAGGAAAATATTTTTACATAATTAGCTAGTTGAAAATTGTGATCTAAAGTCTAGAAGTAGGGTCGAAAGACAAATCAAGCTACTCGGTACTTAAATCGAATTTGACTCATTAAGAACTTGTTCGAATTTTGTTTGTTAATTAATAAAAATGAAGTTTGAACAATATTTTGTGTTTGATAAATTATTAAATTTGACTAAAACTTGGATTGATTAGCATATATTTGAAAATGATAGATAAAAAACTTAAGTTACTAAAATAATAGTCAACTCTATCCATGATAAATTATGTATAGAATTGGATCGATTTTAGTCTTCAACCAATCAATTGTGCTACAAGTAACTATCAAAAAGAAAAATGAGACAGTATTTGTAAGGATCGAAGACAACCTAAGAGGGGGGGTGAATTAGGCTTTCAAAAAACCTGCTAAGATATAGTCCACTTTTTCACAGACTACCTTTCTTTTCTCAAATACCTCCCAATGAACGAGATAACACAAGAGCACAAGTATTCGTGAGATGAAGAGAAGAACAGTTTATGTAGAAAAGCAGTAAATGAAAGTAAATAAACAAACCAGGCTTCAAACACAACTGAGGTTTGAACACCACTTTTATATACCAAATTACTTCATGTTGAACAAACTTGCAACCAATCTTTTGTGTACAAAGAAGGGATCACTTCCTTCTTGCCCCAAACCACACTTGGTCAAGCAAGGAAGTTTTACAAACACTCGCAACCCTCACTATGCTACACTATTGAAGAAGCTGTGTCACACTTGAAAAACTGCACGAAGATTACACAAGCAAAGAGTACAAATGTTCCTTTTGAGTATTCTAGCACTAGAATCACTCACAATCTGATGTAGGCTTGATGTGCAAAGTTCTCTTTAGGTGGTTGACTTTGTTCTACTTATAGGAGACCAGAAGGTTGTTCAATTAATGCTGTCAACGGGTAGAAGGCAACTGAAGAGTCAACTAGCCTAGCCGTTGGTGCTGTCGGACGTCCGATACACAGGTGTTGAGCGTCCGATCCTGATCAGTAATCATGTAACTCCTGGCTTGTCTTCTTCGGACGTCCGAGTCTGAGTTCTTGACTCGTCCGAAGATACTCAAAGAATGTCGGACGTCCGATACTCTCCTTTTGTGCGTCCGACATCATCCTCAGCAGACTTCATTCTTTTTGATCTTCTTTTTCTGCTTTAAATCCACAGACCTGTTTGGTTCATTTCTGAAAAAGGATCTCTACAAAAGGTATTAGAAACATCCAATTATTTTGTAATCATTAAAAGATATGAGTTGAGATAAACAGTATTTATTCTAACTTTATTGGAGTTGGGCTGCATAAGAAAAGCTCATAAGAAATTGTAGACACCAAATTTTGAATAATTTGTATGTGACACCTACTTCATGATTTTTATTTTAGATCGCTTGCATTTAGTTCATTGTTGTGTGTTTTGCATTTTTAGTTGTTATTTTATTTTAGTTTTATTCATTTTGCCCTTTTAGTTTGTCTATTCATTTTTATTTTGTCATTTCAGGTTTTAATCACTTTTAAGTTTTAGATTTTAGTTTTTAGTTTTTTTTTTTTTTAAGTTTATAGAGTTTTAGAAAGAAAAGGAAAACATCAAAAATATGTTTTAGTCATTTTTGTTTTTATTCAATGCTTTCTTAAAAGAAAAATGAAAAGTGAAAAAAAGAGAAAAAAGAAAAAAAGGAAAATTTGTTCACAAAAATATGTTTATTTCTTTAAATTCAATTTTTGGGCACATTAGTTATTTTTATTAAGTTATTTTTGAGAAAAAGAAAATGATGAAAAAATGAGAAATTGGAAAATTTAAAAATGGCCATTTTTGTTTAGTTTTTTTGTTTAAAATTATTTTTGTTTTTTGTTTACCTGGTTTGTGTAATTTTGTTATTATTATTATTATTAGTTATATTTTATCATTTCTGTATTTATTAAATTATTTTTAAAAAAAAAAAAAAAAAAGAGGTTTTACGTGCAAGCTGCGGAAACGCAGCTTGCAAAGGACAGTCACGGATTACCAATCGAAGGGCTAAGGGGAGAAGGTTTAAGTGAAGATAATCTACAGCCATTGAATGAAGGGTTAAGGTTGGCTAGCCGTATATAAAAGGGGAAGAAACGGAGAGCCGCAAAAAAGAAAAAAGATTGAAGGGTTTCAGGGAAAAACAAAACAGAAAGAGTTGACGGGCAAGGGGAGGATTCTGGGGGGAGTGAACGGAGGAAGGGAAACCAAAGCAAAAGGGCAGCTACGGGATAGAGTGCTGGGGGGTTGGACAACTAAGGATAGAACAGAGGGAAGGAAGAGAGATTTCTGGGGGTTGACGTTTGAACAAATAGAGAGGGTTGGTAGAGAGATCGACCGAGAGAGAGAACTGGGGTTGACGGGCCTGAAGAAAGCAGAAACAGAGAACGAAAGACTAGGAGAAGAGAGAATCTGGGGGAAGTTTTTGGGGAAAGCAAGCTGACGGCTACGAAGAAAAAAGAAAACAGACGCAAGAAAGAGAAAGGAGGAGCTGACGGGAAAATTTAGAGGAGAGGACCATTGGAAAATTGCTCGAGAGGGGCTGAGAAGAACTAAAAGGAAAAAGGAGTTCGGCTGTGAAAGAAGGCTGTTGCAGATTCAAGTCCAAAGGTGGTGAAGAGGTAATCTTCGATTTTCTCTTTGTTGCTTCCCTCTGTCTTTTCTTCTGTCCGTTTTTTGCCCAAGGATTGGTTTCCTATTTTCATCAGAGTAAATAGCTTAGTCAAGCCTCTTAGTTTAGATTCTGGTTGTTCTATTTTCTGGAAAATCCGAGTCAGAGTTAGCATTGTTTTTCCAGAATCGTCTTACTGCCATTTTTTTTGGGGTTCGAAAGTCCTGTTCAATCTTTCCTTTTGCTTTTGTCCAAGCATATGTATTTTCGGGATTGAATGAGTAGGAGTGTGCTTGAATCATTTGTGTAAACATGTTTCGGTTGGTTGAAGTGGCATAAGCATATACGCATGGGATAAGTGGTGAAGTTTGTAGTGACATTTAGTTGCGGTAGTGACCTGTGATGCATTGTTTAGTTGCGGGACATTTCCTTTTGCTGAAACTATGGGATGGATAGCTATTAGGATGTGGGATGGTCCCATGTGTTTGGGTTTAGTTTTCATTGGAATGAGCATTGTACATGAATCTGCTGCAGCAAGCCTGAAGGCAATCGTTTGGTTGTGACAGCTTTAAAGTCAGTAGTCGATGGATATCTGTGTCTTTGTATGTTGTTGTTGGTTCATTTGCTTTGTTTCTGATTTAATTGGGTCAAGTTTAACATGAATCTGGATCATTCTGATGTCTTTTAAATCTGAAGGTTTGTTGGAAATTCCTGATGTGATTTTGGTGATTTTCCAAGTCATTTAAGATTTGTTCCATTCACATGCACAACAGTGAAGAATTGCCGCCTTTTCATACTGTTTTTGCTTTGCTTTTAGTTGAGTTTTTCTTTGCGTCTCTGTATCATGTTAATTTTGGTTTTGATGAAGAAATAGAGGGTCCAATGTTGAGGTTGAACACTTGGGTTTAAGGGCCAGTCAAGTCATGTTTTGATTGCAGAACTTGTTTGTATAAAATTATCCTTTTGTTTGCATGTTTTTTTTTTTTTTCTCCAGTAATCTTGGTTTGTTCGGATTTTAAAATTGTATGTTATGTGGCTTAGTTAATTCTTCGGATGTTTGGTTGAGAGAGCTCGATCAAATTTGGTGAAGTTGAAATGCATAAATCTAAGTTCAGAAATGACAATGCAGCCAGCATTCATTTTATGTTTGCAGAATCAAGTTTCTCACGTAGCTGCATGATCATTGCATGAAATAATTCTGAAAATCACACTTTGATCCCCCAAGTTTCCCCTTGATTCACTATGGCCCAAATAATCAGAAAAATTAATCAATTGGGGCCCTGTGTTTTTGCGGCAATGCTACGAAGACCCAACTAGGTTCCATTTTCTTGCAATAAGACCCTATGATAGTTGAAATTGAACCATTCCTCAACCTTTTCTTTGCCTTTGGACCTTTGAAGTTCCTAAAAGTGTTTAATTAAGTTTGAATGTTTGGTTAGTGTTCACATTTGAGTATTTGGTAGCATTAATGTTTTGATTCAATTGCTTGTTTGCTTTCAATTGTTTTGGTGGTACTTAGTGCATGAATTTGTGAACCTTGTATTTAATTGAGCTTATGTTTACCTATTTTCTTTAATTTTCTTAAACCAATTTGTTGCTTGACCTTCGTCTTGCTCTGGGACCTTTAAGGTTTTTAAAACGCTTCAATTAATTTCTGACTGATTGATTAATGGTTGCTTTAGGGATCCTGAAAATGCAAGCGAAACCACTCATTGACCCGTATTTGATCTTAGGCATTTAAATGTTTCTAATTGCTCAATTCCATGTTTATGTGTTAGATTGCTTGACCCTTGTTTTGTTTTGGACCTTTAAAGTTCTTAAATGTTCGATTGACTCGAATGTTTGGGTAAGGGTTATGTT